TCAAACTCTTAAAATTATACCATTTTCTGTTGCACTTTTGATGTAAACAGTTGATAAGTACTGCATATCATCCTGGTCTTGTGATTTTCCCTACTCGGCTCATCCATAAGAGTTCTAGATAAGAGTTTCTGTATAACTATATTCACCTTTGGGTATCTATCCAGCAAGTCAACTTTGGACTAAGAATTAGGCAATCTGTGTTCTTGGTTCAGTTGTTGAATCACTTTTGTTTAGACTGCTTGCTTAATGCACTTGGCTCTGCTTCATAAAGCCATACTAAGTAGTATCTAAATTACTTGTTCTCTCTGTGGAGACTTAACAGAGGTTTAGAGTAAGATTAATGTGACACCTGTCATTGAGCATGAACCCAGTCCTACATCAGGCAGGTGTGGGAGATGAACAGAGGTAAGCAGTGCTTATAAGATAAAAAGCCTGCTGTCAGCTGTGGGGAGCTGCGTTTCTGGGGAGCAGTGCTATGACTGTCTGTTCGTTTTTTAATGGTGGCTCTTGACTTCTGGAACTACACTTCTGTCTGTCTTTTCCTTCTCCTCCTTGCCTTCCCACAGCATGCTATACCTCCAGGAGAGGCTGACCACAGCAGGAAGGTCTGAAACCAGGAAAAGCCAGCTGGTCTCCCTTTACCAGTTTCCAGGGAAGATTGTCAATGGGATTTAAACTGTTTGTGTCCCTGCCTCCTGCTGCTCGTGTAATTGAAAATTTAAGCTCTTCTTAATTCCGTGATTTTATTAAAACCTATTTTCCTCTGACCAGTCTTCATTCTTCATAGGATGTGTTATAGGATGATCTCTGTGGTCACAAACATTTCCTCATGGGTAGTTAAACCACGCTTTAGAGTCAGTTGATTTCTTGTTCACCAAGATAGTTAGAAACCCTGTGCACATATGGTAAAACTGCCTGCTTCTCACAAAGTGAAGTTTTGCTCTCGAAATTCTCACTTTGCTCTACTTACCATACGTACGTAACAAGCAATAGAAAGTTACTTGTTTTGGTCTTTGATCTTGGCTTTTGAAAGTGTTTAACCATAGTTTAGCCTCCAGAATTCTACTCTAGCAACTCATTCCTTCTCCAGTCTAAGGAGCAGTCACACTGGGGGAGGGGAAAAAAAAACAGCCCCTAGGAAGACTCACAGGCCTGGTGGGAAGATTATTGATACTGTCTTCCCATTTTCGATCCTTTGCTTTGTAACCTTGGGAAAAGGTTAATTTTTTGTGCCTGTTTTCCATCTCTAAACTCATGAATGTTCTGTCTTTACTTTCCTAAATGAGACTATAAATTTTTTTTGAGTGTCCACAAACTCAAATATAAGCCAGATATGGTGACACATACCTGTAAATCTCAGCATTTAAGAGACAGAGACAGGAGCATGGTGAATTCATGGCCAGCCTGGGCTACATGGAGAGACCCATATCTTGAAAACAAACAACAACAACAAAAAGCCTCAAAAATTTGAATAGTATATAAAATGGTTCTTTTACTTACATTTGACCTGGGAAGGCAAAATTACATATTGTATTGACTCCCAGAAAAGTTGATTGCTAGTTTGCCTTGCACAAAGGTACACTGCTGTGTGATGTGCATTTAATGTTTTAGAGACCTGTGGTAAACTCTGTAAGCACTTCCATTATTTAAGACTATGGACTTGTATGTTTTGTATTTTCTTAACGGACAACCACTGTTCCTCTCCAGTTTGCCTTTTGAATGTGCAGTGCTATTTTAAGAAAGATATATTTAGACATACTGCTAAACATAGAAATATATATTACTCATTACTTTTAATTAATACTTTTTTATCCTAGGTTCTAATTTCTAAAGTAAGTGGTCTCAGATGATAAATAAGCATAATAGTTGTTATTTGGAGAGTAAGGAAAAAGCAGTTTACACTGTACTGTTTCCCTAGTTAAGATGCGGGATCACAGAGCAATTCTGTGGTAAGAGATGAATATTGATTAAAATGTGCTGGAGGAATTAATTTGGACTTAATGATTGGTATTATTATACATCTATTAATAGTCACAATTTTGCAAAACTTAATTCTTGTAGAAACACTTATAATTAAATAATCAAATAGCTGTATTTTAAAAAGACTTCTAAATGGTACTTCTTGTTCATAAGATGTAGATAAATGGAATAAAGTTAACACCTAAAAAGCTAAATCAGTGTTCATAAGATAAGTATTGGATTATTTTACTTGGGGAAAGACTGCTCCTAAATGGAAAGTCAAGTGTTTGCCATATGAGTGAGAGTGACTCTGATGCTAAGAAGGAAACACCACCAGAGAATGGTTTGCTGAGCCTACTTGGCCGGCAGAGTTCTTAAGAATGGTCCCCACAAAGAGGACAGTAGCCTTCCTGAGTAGCTAGCCCTGAAGCTATACCCAGAGCCATAGAATAAGTGGGCTCAGACAGCTCTATAGAATGCTAGAGAACAATGTCTAATAAAACCAAAGCATTGAACACAGGTGCACTTGAGTGCTGACTATCTTAGTATGAAATAGACTTCTCCAGAGAGCGGGAGAGGAGGAATACCATGCAAGCAGTGCAGTCCCCTTCCTTTGATGTGAATCCAAAGCTGACTTTGGCTGGGTCCTCTTCTCTAAAATGATAGTAGGTGGTTGGATGGTAGTCATGATGTCAGGGAGAGATCCTGCTGTAGTGGGAGATCTAAGTTCTTGGCTCCACTCTTTCTCCTCCTGAGTGAGTTTGGAGAAGTCTCAATTTTCTCAGTTTCTTCATTTGCATTTTATGAAGATCATTAACTGCTCTTTTTACTTAGAATTATGAGCATTGTATGGAGTAAGGCACACAAGACCTTTGTAAATGTCTTGCGTGCCTCAGAATGGAAGGGTCCTGGTCCCCGGAAAAGGGCCACATCTCCAGGAATTGTTGATAAGGAGGTAAAATGTTTAACATATTTCATATCATGAAGCTTGGATTTTTTTTTTTCAGCATTATTTTATTGTAGCCTTGCAAACCTTCAGCCCATCAGCCTGATGCTGATTGTGTGCACCGGTGGTTGTTTCATTCAGAACTTGGTCAGGGCTGGACATAAGGAAAATAAGGCTCCATTGTACTTGATCCCAGGAAGGTCTTGTTCTTACAAGGAAGTTGACTGGTTTGTAGCATAGCATCACAGAAGTAAACCCAGGAGCTGTGGGGAGCACAGAGAGCCAGGACTGGGGGGATTCTCATTTTTCAGAAAGAACACAGGGGCCTGTTTGAAACACTGGAGTGCTGGGCATGGTGGCACATCCCTGTAGTCCTAGCACTCTGGAAGCAGAGGCAGGAATGACTATAGCTTTGAGGCCTGCCTGATCTCTGTAGCATATAGCAACTCTGTAGTGAGTTCAAGGCCAGGCCAGGCTTCATAACAAGTCCCTGTCTCAAAAAGCACACCAACCAGCAACATGACCTACTGGTGCAGAGCATGCACGCTGCCAGGCTTTGAATTCTGGCCCTGCCACTATGGCCAGTGATATGACCTTGGAACCTTTGCCTGCCTGTGCTTTGATTTCTTCACCTGCATGATGGGCATAATGGAAGAACTTATTTTATGGTTTTGAGTATTTGCAATCAAAGACTACTATTTTTATTGTTTAATATCTTAACATTATAGAATCTTAGCTGGGTGTGGTGGCACATGCCTTTAATCCCAGCACTCAGGAGGCAGAGGCAGGCGGATCTCTGTGGGTTGTAGGCCAGCCTGGTCTACACAGTGAGTTCCAGGACAGC